ATTATTATTTATTATTATTATTATTTATTATTATTTATTATTATTATTATTTATTATTATTTATTATTATTATTATTATTATCGACACTGTGACAATCCTAACGCTAGATACGTACGAGATCTGTGACAAATTTTCCATAGAAAGTCTATACTGAGATTTTCATGCCAAGAAAAAAAAACACAACAAACCATATCATTGTTTTTGGTTAAACATCCGGATATCCGTGGATGTCAAATTTTGCTCACGGATGGTGAATCCGGATAACAAAAAATATTCCGGATGTCAATTCGGATATCCGGATAGTCATCCGCGCTCAAAAACAGCAATCCGGATAGGACATCCATATCCATCTGAATATCCGTTGACAAATATCCGTGCTCAAAAAAATGGCCCGGATCCCAACTCTACAATTATGAGATCCACATTATCATGCCAAGAAAAAAAATCACAACAGACCATCATTGTAAATCATCTGTTAAAATGATGGAATTTGTGAAGTCTTTCTGTTAAAATGATAACTCTTGAACGTTTCTGATAATATTTTTACGATGGCATAATGCTGTGAGAATTTCATATTATTATTACAGTTCTGCCATAATGACAATCTCAGTATTTAGACTTTCTCGCGATAATCGAACAGGAGGATGTTTCCTTCACCCGGTGTGCAACATATAAAAAATTATTCAGATTATTCCGCTAGTACATGTTATGATTATAATCCCACCATTTTTATTATAATAAAATGATGTGGGATTATAATCATAACATGTACTAGCAGAATGATTTGGTATTGTAAAATAATTTTTTTATATGTTGCACACCGGGTGAAGGATCAGACGGTTCCTCCTGTTCGATAATCGTAAAGCATAATGAATTATTTAAAATATTGTGAATCGCAAATACTTTTTTTCCTTCATTACATGTAGTTTATCTGATTTTTTCGTATTAGATGAACACAATTTTATTGATTTTCTAAAAGTCATAAATTTTTTTTTTTTTTAAAAACCATAAAATTTTGACTTTACAAATTTCATAAAGCACACCAATTTTTAAAATAATAAAATTCATTAGTTAATATATCCTCTAAACAAGTTCCGTCCTTACAATGCCGTTATTAGAAAAACTCGAAGAAATTATGGATAAACGAGTAAAACGTAACATCGATTACCATCTAATGCATTCACCGCCTCCATGAAGAACTAAATAAGAAATTTTTAAGTGCTCTTATATCATTTCCTCATCCAACACTTGGTTCAACAGGTTCACGTCTTCTGGATGGAAATTCGTCATATGCAGAATCATTAGAATTATTCCTTGCGGATTTTCATAATGCAGAAAGTGCATTACTATTTAACTCTGGTTATGTCGCAAATTTAGGATTTTTTAGCTGTGTTTCTCAACCGGGTGATGCTGTAATTATCGATGAATATGTACATGCAAGTATACATGATGGTTTGAGAATGTCCAGAGCATCATTAATTACAGCATTTAAGCATAATGATGTTGAACATCTTAAAGTCAAGTTAACAGAAGCTAAACAGCAAATCAAAGAACAAAATAATATTTTTGTTGTGGTAGAGAGTTTGTATTCTATGGGTGGAGATTTTGCTCCCTTAATAGAAATTGATGAAATCCTAAAACCATTTAATGTGTATTTGATTGTTGATGAGGTACGTAAAGATCAAAATTCAAATTCAAAATAATTATCGATTATTATCTTAAATTTTAATCTGTACTTAATTCATATCAGGCCCATTCTGTTGGTGCATATGGTAATAAAGGCAAAGGAATCGTATGTGAGTTAGGTTTGAAACATCGGGTATTTGCACGAATACTTACCTTCAACAAAGCTATTGCTAGTAGTGGAGGTAGTTTAATTATAGTTTTGTATATTCATAAACATGCTATATAAAATAAATAATATTAAATATATACTTTATATCAATCATTTTTAACAGCGGCTATTATTGGACCAAAAATTTTAAAATTATATCTACTCAACTATGCGAGATCAGTTATTTTTACAAATTTTTTATCATTTAGCAGCCTTATTTCTATAAAATGCTCATATGAGTTCATGTCTAGTGAAATAGGTGATCAGGTATTATTAAATCATATTAGAGATGATAAATTCTATATACAGTCAGACCTCCCTAAATGCAACCCCTCTAAATGCAACCCCTCTCTAAATGCACGATAGAAGATTAGCCCC